GTCTCTCTCTCCCTCCCTACTGCTGGCGCATGGTCGTCTGGAGAATGATGCCATCAGTCTGGATGGCCCTCTCAACCACGACAAGGGGCGGGGGCAGCTGGGCGGGCGGCGGGTCAATGACGGCGGGCTGGGCGCCTGCAGTTCACCAAGGGAGAGACAAATGCGTTCACACACGTCCATCATGATGGATAAATGCCCTTGTTCGGTTGCTCACCATCGTTAACCACGTCATCCTCCGGCACCACCACCTCGCCGTCATTATCGCCCTCCTCGTCATTGACGCCGGCAGGCTCGCCCTGGGCGATGGCAGGGGCGGGAGCCGCTGCTGCTGCGGAGGACGCACACACACAAGTGAAAGCATGTGTAGCCCTGGATAAACGTTCTCCCCTCTCGTCATACCGGGGGCATCCGAGTCGTCAAAGTGAGCCATGTTGGACTCAGGGACCGACTCAAACGCACCAGGCACTGAATACGGACCAACAGACAGACACATATGGCACATGTGGCCATGAACGTCCCTTCGTTTTTGGCTCACCCGTGTCAGTATTGTTGTCGGCCACAGGGCGGCCATAGCCGAACTCAGCCCCGCAGTGGGCCGGGCTGGTCTCAAACGCTGAATGACAACGCGGAATGGACAACATGGATGAGTGAGTGAGTGTCTCTGCTAGTTGCGTGCATACCTGGCTGCCACACCGGCCGGCCCCACGGCGACATCTGACTCGGCGCCGCTTCCACCTGTGTAGCATTGACGGGCGGGGGCAGCTGGGCGGGCGGCGGCGGGTCAATGACGGCGGGCTGGGCGCCTGCAGTCAACCAAGGGAGAGGAGATGAATGCGTTCACACACGTCCATCATGATGGATAAATGCCCTTGTTCGGTCGCTCACCATCGTCAGCCACGCCATCCTCAGGCACTACCACCTCGCCGTCGTGCTCATTGTAGCCCTCCTCTCTGTAGACGCCGGCCAGGCCCTCGCCGCCCGTCTGCGAGTGTGGCTGGCCCTGGGCGATGGCAGGAGCGAGAGCCGCTGCTGCTGCGGAGGAAGCACACACACAAGTGAGAGTAGCAGTGAGTCCATAGGACGTTCTCCCCTCTCGTCATACCGGGGGCATCCTGGTGGAGTGCCTCCATCATCTCGCAGCGCCGTTGCCACTCGGCCGCCATGGCTTTGTAGTATCTGAACGAATAGTTGCGGTACCCGAGGAAATAGAGAATTGAGAACACAATGTTATATCATGTCGACATGTCTTCTTACTGGATTTGACGGTCCCGCTCGTCGAGCTCGGCCAGGTATTGACTGTGCTGCTGGTCCTGCATGAAGACACACACAAAGGGGAAGGACACGTACGTCACATGAATGAGATCAGTGGGCGCTTCGTTCGTGAGTGGACACATACCAGCTGTCGCTGCGTGGAGTATCTGTAATATTCCTTGGCGGCCTCGCTCTTGTTTCTGCATGGACGTCAAAGGAAGGAAAGGCAACACATCCACACCCATATGTACACACAACATCTACCTTGTCTGTCATACTTACATTTCCTCTTGACAGTACTGAGAGTGGCGGGCAAACATGGCGAAGGTGGGCGCCACGGCGGGCTTGACGGCCTCTGGCTTCTTGCTGCTCTCCGTCACGGCCACATATACGATGCCGGCCAGTATTGACAGGCCAAGCCCCAGCAGGACGTAGAGCAGCCTCTTGAGCATCCTGTCGGCGGGGCACTCGGGGCATTGCTGGGCGCTGTACACTGTGAAAGTGGTGGTGGTGGTGGTGGTGTCGTATTCGCTGGGTGGCGCCGAAGGCGTGTCGCCTATCGTGGCCCCGAGCGTACCAGCAGCCTACATACAGGATGCACGTGATAAGGAACACTCCACAATGCCCCCATCGGTTCTCCCCTCTTCTCAGACCCACCTCCTCTTTGTCGCCTGTCGGCTTGTCGCCCTTGTCCAGCACGTTGCCGCCATCTTCGTCTCCCTCAACTCCCCCCGTCTGTGAGCTGCCGCTCACTGGCTGCATGGACGCCGGCGCCCGGGTGGTGACGGCCTGGCTGAAAGGGGCGACGATGGCAGCCAAGTGCCTCCAGATCCCCGGCAGCTGTATGGACCCTCTGTTGCTGTTCCGTCTCTTGACGACGATGCGGACGGGTACTCGCTTTGGCGATGTCACCATTACAAAGCGCTTCGTGGTCGGCGGCGTCTTCCCCTCATGACACATCTGTTCACGCACACGCACACGCAAGGCATTGGCATTTGCGGCAAATTGGCGGTTGCAAGTCTTTCCCACCCGTGTGTGGTTGTCTTTGGGGCGGATGCCTGCCTCCCCCTCCCCCTCCCCGATTGTGTTGTGCCTCCCCTCAAACGTGGCTCGCTCGAGTGAAGACAACGTGCCCAGCACGCCTGACACGCCGCCCGCGTACGTGTGCATGCCCCTCTCTCCCTCACACACGACAACATTTGGGAAGAGGCCCTCAGGATTGGCAGTGATGTAGCCAGGGAGATCATCGGGCCACCCATTCGCCTTGACGGTGAGCTCCTCCGCCGACTCACACAAGAACGGAGCTGCCATCACGGTGCTGGCCAGCGGATGGCCGTCGAGGGTGACCCTCTCGGCCTGCTGGCAGCACACTTGGACGGTCGAGAGGGAGGCGGCGATGGCATCCTGGTCGCCGGTGAAGGGCAGGTGGATCTTGAGGCCCTCGGTGCCGGTGGTCTATGTCTCCGCTGCATCGGCAGCAAGACACGTGCTGAGGAAGGCGTGCAGCTTCTGATGCATTATATGCATGACAAGGACACAAGACAGGAATGCAGGCGTGTCATGTGGATCCGTGTGGCTGTCATCAATCTCACACACCTGTATGTCGTCCGATGAGTTGATGGCTCTGTCCCCCAAACACATCTCGATCTCCCACATGGGGCCGCCGTGTTGTTGCCGATGACCTCGGGCAT